CTGAACTCTGCTTTCTGCCTGGCATTATTTATATTCTTTAATTAAATGTTTTATAGAATTCACCTGAGAAGCCAGTTAGGTCTGGAGTTTGCTTTTGGGGAATATTTTAAATCATAAATTCATTTGAGAAAGTTAATATAAAATTATTTGAGATTTCTCTTTCTTCTTGGGTCATTTTGGTAATACGTGTTTTCTGACAAATGTTTTTTCCGTTCTTTCTCTCTTCTCCTTCTGTGACTCCAAGTATATATCAGACCATCTAGTAGTATATAACATGTTTTTAAGTCTATTCACTTTATAAATATATGTGTAGTCTGTATTCATCTTGGTTGGGTTCAGTTGATCTAAATGTAAGAAACTCACTCTTTTCTCTGTCCTCTCCATTCTTTTGTTAAGCCTATTCGGTAATTTTTTTATTTCAGATAGTATATTTTTCTCTTCTAGAATTTCTGTTTAGTTCTTTTTATCATGTCCATTTTCTCTGCTGAGATTTTTCTGTCTTTCGATTTACTGTGGGAATATTTTTATTTATTTCATTGAGGATAGTTATAATTATTGCTTTTAAAATCCTGTGTGTTGATGGCAGTATTTGAATTATGCATTTCAAATTAATTGTCAAATTGGCATAATGCTATTTATAATATTCCTTCATTACCCTTATTGAAAATAACTTCTTTATTTTATGACAGTTTCACATTTAAAGAGCTATTGTGAAGACAGTACAGAGAATTTCAGTGTACTCCACCCCAGTTTTCCTATTCTTATCTTCCATTAGTATGGTCCATTTTCACAATTGATGAACTAATATTGATACATTATTATTAAAGTCCATAAGCTATTTGAGTATATATTCTGAGCAGGTAAGGTTCGAAGCCAGTAAGAATTATGGTGAATTAGATAGAATTTGGGGATCCCTCTTTGGCTCTTTCTCTTCCAGTATTTCTTCTTCCTCTCTAGTGGCTACAATTAGTCTTCTAGTTTTCCGGTCCATAAAGGCGACTTTTTTTTTTTAACTGATGTTTCTGCCACCCCTCGTGCTGCAGTGCCTCATCCTAGGATAAAAACATTGAAAATACTCCCCCAACCCCACAATTCTCCTCTTAGCATATGTTCCCCACAAGACTTTGCCTGCTCTGGTCACAGTGCTTTCAAATAGCTGCTTTTGATATTATGTCCAGATTTTATTGTGATTATCTGCAGAAGGGTTGGGCCAGGAGGATCTTATTTTACCATTACTAGAAGAAGTCAAGATTTTTCTTATTCATTTGTATAAGCACTTGTTTTAGGAACTTTAACAGTTTATTGTATATATTTATAATTTTGTTAACCTGTTGTTTGGCTTTTAAATTTTGCTTTGTATTTATGGTATACAAAAATCTTATATTTTGATGTAATTAAATAAGTTTGAGATTTCTTAATTTTTGCTTAAAAAATTATTCAAGTATCAGATAAACACATGCCTAGATTTTTTCTACTTTTTTTTTGTAGTTATAGTTTTTACATTTAACTTTTTGACCTCTTTCAGATTTACTTTAGCATGTGATACTAAGTAAAGATCTCTGATATTGTCCCCAAAGAGCGAGGTAATTTCCTAAACATAATATATAGAAGCTGATTTTGTTTTTAACAGCAGCTGCGGTTTCCATTATAAAAAATTAATTTTTACCTTGCTGAACATTACGATGAACATATATAATTTTGACAAACCATATCAATGTAATTGTTAAATTTTGGTGAAGAAAGACTCAAATTTGAGTCAGAAAGATGAAAAGAAGAATTTTTTATGTGATTGGTGGTCCATGGAACCAAAGTCACATTCAGCTTGTTTAGATGTGACCGTGTGTGCCTAACAAAACCACCTAATCAGTCTCTGTGTCTTTCTCATGACCATGTCTACGATGCAGCAGAAGTAATAAGAGCTGTTTTTCAGGTATTAGCTTCCGTAATCATAGTCACAGCAAAAGTGCTGAGCAAGCATCAGATGCTGCAATGGTAATAATAATATTTAAATGATAAGTGCCGTAACGGAAGGATATTTGGTGTAATGAGAGAGTCTAAGAGGGAAAATAGCACTGGCTGTGGAAATCAGGGAGGGCTTCCTTGAGGAAACAGTGATTGTGTTGAGACCTGAAAGAGGAGTAGAATTAAGTAGGTAAGATGGGCGATGTGGCAGTTGGCAAAGGAAGCCACAAGCAGAAGGGATCTAGGGCACAACTCTTTGGAAGAATGGAGGGACCAGTGTGGCTGGAGCTAACAGCCCAGGGAGCATGCCATGGAGTGAGGCTGGGGAGGTGAGCACGCCACACCATGCAGGCTTGTACGTTTCAGGAGTGCTGTTTGTATCTTAAGAGCAGTGGGGGAGTCATGGACAGATTTTAAGCAAGAGCAATCTGATCGGATTTGTGTTTTTGCAAGATCAGGCTGGTAGAGGTACAGAAATATATTGGAGGAAGGCCAGAGTAGGTACACGGAAACCCATTAGGAGATTATTGCAATAGTTTAGGGGAAGCTTGGTGTAGATGGGGATGTCGGAGTGGATGGATATCCGGCTGGGTGGGTGTGTAACCTGAGTGGAACCGGGCAGACGCGTGGACTGTAATCTTACAGCGACTCAGTTTTGTTTCCCAGTGCCCCTTTAAATTTACTCAATTGGACTAATTCTTTTGCCCCTGGATAAAAACTGTGAGCAGATCTTGCTTTTTCAGGTTTGTCTTAGATCATATAAAGAGCCTCAGTGTAGTGTGCCACAGCCAGTCAGACATGTTAGCTCGATTTGAACGTGAATCGTGTTTCTTCCCCGCGAGGCCCGATGCAGGCAGGAGTAAAGGCGTCATGATGGCAGCTTCTCCCTTTCCCCACTTTGCATTTCTCTTCTTTCCTCATTTTGTAAACCAAGTTTCTGCCCCCTCTAGGAATTGAAATGCACAAAGGAGAGGCACAAAGGGGGAGGCTGAAAGTTCTCACTTGACTGGCATTGCCGTGAGCTCGAAGCTGCGTTCTTGGGGCGGATCAAGTGTTCCAAGCTGTTTGCTTTCCTGAGCGCTGTTGACGGGTTCTGGATTTCACATTTGATGAAGGCAGATGCATCTCTAGCCCCACTGATTGCCTATTTCCTTCTCAGCCCCTGGGAATCTGGGCAGAGAGAAAGCAAGCTTTCTCTGTTAAAGCCTGTTCATTTCTCCAGGTGGCTTCCTTGGGCAAAGACGCAGGTGCCCCTGTGTCTGTGTGCATGCACGTGCGTGCCCTCCCTCACGTGGCCCACAGCTGATCCCCATGAAACTCTCAGCAGTTGTTTCCCTGATGGCTCTGATAGAGACGCCAACCAGCGCACTCCCTTCCCCTTTGTGTTCCCAGTGGCCAGCGAGCTCAGCTCTCACCTGCAAGGTTTCTAGCTGGGAGTGAGTCACGGAGACATCACACCCCCGAGTGCAGGGGACAGGAGTCAAGCTCTCTGAGTGGAACCCGCTCTTTTCACAAGCCTGCAGGTGAGGAGTAGGCATCCTTCTCTCTCTCTTTTGTGCTGAGGCTGGGACTCAAGCATCCCAAAAGATTTTCTCCCAAAATTCACTTTCTTTTATCCACTATTACCTGGATTTTTTAATACCTTAGATGTAGATAATTTGTTTGTCTAACCAGTTCTTTCTCAGCCACTAAGTTGTAGCAATCAAAACAGGGCCGTCTGTTTCACGCCCGGTTTGAGACCTCACATCGATCATCTAAGGAGCTAAGCCCAAACTACTTTTCGCCATCCTGTTAGGGAAGCATAGGCATGGCTGAGTTTGTAAGTCGCAGAAGGTCAGTGTATGTGACACAGGAGAGTGTATGGGATGGAACGCTGCTGTTTTTCTAGCCTGCAGTAGGGGCTTTTCGACCTGCTAGCTCTCATCCTTATCACAACCCTCCCGGTAGGTGGTATTTTTCTCATGTTACAGACGAGAGGAATACAGCATCAGCATAGCGGGCAGCGTGCCTGAGGTCACATCAGTAGGAAGTGCAGGAGCAGGGACTTGCACTCTGGTCTTTCTGAAACCTGTGCTCACATCAGGTTGCTCCTGCTGCCATCTTGTAACTCTGAAATCATTGGTCCCTGAATCAGGGGACCATATTCACTTTGGAAATGAGTTTTGGAACAATTTGCTAACTAATGATTCTTGACAAGACTTTGAATCTGTACGAACTTCCTATTGCTGCCATAACCATGTACACAAGCCTGGTGGCTTAAAACAGCGCACGTATCATCCTAATGTTGGTTAGGTTAGAAGCCCAGCCTGGGTCTCACTAGGCTGGAATCAAAGAATCCGCAGGGCTTGGTTCCTTCTGGGGAATCTGAGACAGATTCCTTTCTTGCTTTTTCCAGCTTCTAGAGGCCGCCTGCGTTTATTGGTTTACAGCCCCTTTCTTTGTCTTTCAAAGCCACCGGCATCCTATCTCTGCCCTCAAGTCTTTTTATGGCTGCAGCTAGGAAAAGCTTTCCAATCTTAAGCATCAATGGGATCAGAGTGGGCCCACCTGGGTAAACTGGGAGAGTCTCTCCGTCTCCAGGTGTACCCTCCACCACATCCACCATGCCCCTTTGCTGGGGCAGAGAATGGATTCGGAGAGGCTCAGGATTAGAGAGAGAGTGGGCACATGAAGGCCGTTGTCCTCCCTGCCGCAATAGAGAGGTGCTTTAAATGATGAATTTGAAAGAATTATTTTATGGACATTATCATTTTAATTACAAAATTAATTATAATTTTAATCAAATCCCTTAGATGCTTTCTTCAGTGTATGCTACCATTAACAATATAGAGACATGCAGATCTAATACCAGCTTGATTTTTCCTTGCTTTTAAAAAATCAATTCATAATACAATTTTACGAAATGATTTTGTTTACATTAGATTTCAAACTTCATATAAATGCATTGCTGCTGTTTTCAATTCGACAATAAGTACCTATGGAGTGTCACAGAAAAAAATGTTTAAAGTAATATTTTTGTTGTTATTTTTTAAATCCAGATTTGGACTTAAAGCCACCACTAAAATCAGCTGGAAGCAATTTCTAACATCATTTCATGAGCATCAGAGGCTGGAAATTAACAATAAAGGCTCCCTGACAAAAAGAAATAGGTACGTTAAAAAAAAAACAAAACATTTTAGTTACACATGATACACAAAAGATCAGAATATCGGTGTGCCTTTTTCTGCATTTATTGAATGATTAGTCTTCATTGAATAATTGCCAACTTTTATATAATGATTTACTGTTTACAAATGTTTCGTATTTAAAGCTGCCTTAAAACTGCAAGGCTGGTATAATTATTATTTCAATTTCTAGATGAGAAACATAAGATGATACAGTCTGAACTCAGTCTCCTGCGCAGAGTGTGGTAGAGGCAGCTAAGGACCACAAGGCTCCAGGCACACACGCATGGCAGCGCTCCTGCCAGCTCTAAGCACGTCCTCGTAACAGTGTATATAAATGTGTGTTTGTTAGGTGTTACATGAAAAGGGACAATACATGTTCATTTGTTTTCCAGCCACTGTGTAGTGGCACAGATACCATGGGTCTTGGAAAGTATTTGTCTATCATTATTTCTGTTTTCATTCTAATACCTGTTATAACCTCAGATTTGCAGTATCACATATATTGTGGTGGGGGCCCAAAAGTGTTTTAAAAAATATTTGGTATGAAATTTTAGAATTTAGCTTTTGATTCCGAGAAGTATTTTATGTTGGTACGTATCCTGTATTCATCGCCCTATGTGAATCTCAAAGAAAAAAAAAAAAACAGGCTTTATAATCTTGACATGCTCATTGAAAGTGCTGTGCTCTCCTGTAAGTAAAATACACCATGGTGTTAATTCCCGTTTCGCGGGTTCTGTCCCTGTCTCGGGGATTTGTGAAGATTTGATGAACTGCCCCGGTTAGCAGTCCTGCAGGCATTCAGAGCACTCCCTCTCTGCTCCAGGGCTGCCATCTCTGAGCTCATTCCTTGCATGGAGTTACTTCTGTTTCTTCATAATTTTCTTGTCTGAGAGCACATTTTCTAGGGGAGCTGTCAGAATTAAAGTTGTGTTTATTTAAAACAGTGGTTCTCAAATGGGGACAGTTTTTCCTCCCAGGAGACATCTGGCCATGTCACGGGACATTTTTCATTGTCACACTGAAGGTGGGGAAGCTACTGACGGGAGCTGATCATAATCCCAAAAGACACACCTCAAACTCCATCATCCCGAAGGTTGAAATCTCAGCTGATCAAAATCCTGAAAATATAATTCTAGAAAAAATCATTTTAAAATTCCTTAAAAGATACTTATGTACATTTGTAGAAGGGGATTTATCTGAGAAACGTAAAAACACAACAGAACACTTCAGAGGCCACATTACACAATAAAATTGGCAATAACAACACATATTTTTACAAGCATAACCACTCAGATATACTAATGACCATCACGTAAGTGTGACAGTTGTGAGCAGATGAACCCTATTCCTAAAGAAATAGGTCAAAAGGTGAAATATATAAATGTATATCATTATCGTGAGTAATTGCATGCACCCAGTTTTATAACCAGTTATTCGAATACTGTGACAGACAACCTAAGTCTTTGGCAAGATGGGTCACCACTGCCTGTGCAGTTGCCCAAAGAGCCGAGATCTTAAGAAATTATATCTTTCACAAACGCGGTGAACAAAAGTGACATCTCTTCATATATTGAGCAAGTTTCAGTGTTTTTATATCACACACACAATGCTTACACACAAAGGCAACATTGTGATAGTGTACTTCTGTGAAGTCAAATTTCCAGCTGGACATGGTGGCTCATACCTGTAATCCCAGCGCTTTGGGAAGCCAAGGCGGGTGGATCACCTGAGATTGGAAGTTCGAGACCAGCCTGAGCAACATGGAGAAACCCTGTCTCTACTAAAAATGCAAACTTAGGTGGTACATTCCTGTAATCCGGACTACTGGGGAGGCTGAGGCAGGAGAATCCCTTGAACCAGAGAGGCAGAGGTTGCAGTGAACCGAGACTGTGCCATTCAGCCTGGGCAACAAGAGCAAAACTCAAAATAAAATAAAATTTCCGACATCCAAGTCAGCAGCAGAAAATGTCACAGCTCTGAGAGAGAGCTGTGTTCTCTCCGGGCTCCCAGCCGATCGGCTGTTGCTCACCAACACTGAGGACACGTCTTTCCCCCAACCCTCCCTGCCCACTCAGACCCGCACGCTCATCTCCGGACACACCCAACACAGTGCTTCACCAGGTTCTAGGTGTTCCGTCTTCCAGTCAAGCTGACACCTAAAATTAAGTCCAAAAATCTGCCCTTGGCAACTTGGTACCCACAGGCATCTCCTTAAACCATACTTCATTTCCAAATAATGACAATAGCAAGGTCATAGTCCACCTAGCATGACACAGCCATGCTGTGTACAACTGAAAACACACCAGTCCCTTGCCCAGAATTTGGCTTTCAGTATTTTAAACTTTTCTTTTTTTTTGAGACAAAGTCTCACTCTGTCACCAGGCTGGAGGGCAGTGGCCTTAACTCAACCAGCCAACTGCAACCTCTGCCTCCTGGGTTCAAGCAATTCTCTAGCCTCAGCCTCCAGAGTAGCTGGCACTACGGGTGTGTGCCACCTCACCCAGATAATTTTTGTATTTTTAGTAGAGACAAGGTTTCACCATGTTGGCCAGGATGGTCTCGAACTCCTGACCTTGTGATCCGCCTGCTTCTGCCTCCCAAAGTGCTGGGATACAGCTGTGAGCCACTGTGCCTGGCTGAGATTTTAATCTTTTGAGATTGTGATTTTTGTGATGTTAGGCAGTAGGGGTTTTAGAATTTAGAGATTTTGATCTTTTGGGATTTCAACATTTCGGGTTGCATCTTTCAGGATTCAGATCCAAATCTGCCCTGAGAGGCTCCGCGTCCCGCAGTGAGTCCCTTTCCAGCCCCTGTGTCAGGGCTACCCAGTGGGTAAAACCTGCTGTAAAAAGCATCTATTCATGCCCCAGTGCTGGCAGGCTCTAGAAAAACGAGGTTCCAACAAGTCACGTGAGGAACGTAGACTCAGGAAGCCGGCGCGTTTCTGGAAGGCCGTGGCAGGCCTGTGCTTTTTGTTTCTGCACAGCCGGAAGATGCTAAGATGGCTGTATAGGTGCAGCAACAAAAGCTCCCAGACAAATCTGAGAGTGGTTCCGCGGGTAAAATGACTGTCATTCGTTGTTTCACGGGGAGGGTACGACGCTCTGACAGAACATCAGAAAAGAGAGGCAGCCAGCGGTATGTTGCGGTGAGGTTCCGACACGTCTCCCCTTCTGAGCAAAGCCCGTGTTGAACTTGGTTTTGGTCTCCAGAGGGGGTGGTCATGCCTTCGGGAGAGCACACATGTCCACTGACGGGCCCCGAGCTCAGGGATGAAAGAAAGAGGCCATAGAGGAAAAGGGGGGTCTCACGACGCAGGGGGTCGTGGCCACCGTCAGTGGAAAGGGAGAGGCTGAGAAGGCTGCTGTCCTCGCAGTTCTAAAACGGAGTATGAGCCCTCAGTTAACATGTGGATGAGACAGCTACAATGTGCAGCCCACACGGGAGGGAGGGCCCTCAGCTTCCCAGCCACTGAGGTCTCAGCGGTGGTCCACGGACCCTTCCGTGGTCTTGAGACCAAAACCGCAGATGCGCAGGATGGCTGATGAGTTGGTCTCGTGGGCAGAAGGGCTGGTACAGCAAGGCTCACCCGCACCTGAGGCCGGCATTCATCGTGTCTCCGATCACAGTAACCGAGATTCACCCGAGTCCCACACGGGCAGCACATTGTCAGGAAAAACAGCCATCCTCAAAGAAAGCACTGTTGTATTTCGGTGAGGATGCTTGTTTCTTGCATTAAGAAAGAACAAAGTTCAAGAACATAATTGTATTCCTGCTTTTCTCCTAATCCTCTTGTAGCATCGACTCTAGAAATGAACCTCACAAGGAAAACATCATCACAAAGTTATTTAGACACACTGAAGACCGCCCTGCATCCCTGAAGAAAGCATTACTGATCATCAACACCGTAAGATTTTGAAACCCTTCTCTTGTGAAACACTCTTTGTTTCTAAGAATGCAAACACTCAGAATGAAACCAATAAAACCTCCGTATTCGTTCACATAGCCATCCAGCAAACACTTCCTGAGCTCCTGTTACATGCTGGGAATTGTTCTGAGCGCTTAGAGATAGAAGCTGTGACCTCACGAGTTGAGTCTAGTTGGGAGGAAAGATGATGGAAAATTAATTGCAATACAGCAAGATAAGTGCCAGTAGTGTCGGGGACAATGTGGGACAAGATCATAATGGATGTGGTGACTTGTCATCGGTCACGGTTTAATTAGCAATCCAGACCTGGTGACCTTTCCCCACCCTAACCTGGAGTTGGTCAGTTCCTAACCAACTTGCTGCCCCAAACAGGAGCATATTCTTACTGCCAGAATAGCCTACTTAATTTTTAACTGCACCATAAAGAGAGACTCATTCATGAATTTGTAACCTGCATTTTCTCCCTTTCAGCGTTAGCTCCTGTCTCACTTTAGTATTGTTTGAGAAAGCAGCAGTTGGACCCTTTTGATACGCAATGACATTGGCTAAGTGTGTTTGGTAACGGAAGCTCTAGTGAAGAGTGAGGAGTAGAGTGAATTACTGTTCTGAGACTCATGTAGGACTGCGTACAAATGATTTCAGAGGCCAAAGGCATCCCTTAGTTCAACGTCAGCCTCCTGAAACTTGCTGTGGAGGCGATGTCTGGGAGTGTGAGGGTGGTGCCCCAGGGAGAAGCCAGCACTGTCTGCAGGTGGCCTGCAGGTTTGTGGTTTGCTGTCTGTGGAGGCCCCAGCACCTGCCTCCGCCATTGCGTGGGGTTTCCAAGCACAGTGTGGATTCAGAAACGTGGGGTTCTTTGAATGAATCTTTAGGCCTGTATGACTTGGTGTCTCTGAAGGAACAATAATGTTGAGTGCTTACTATGCGCTGGGCACTGTCTTAAATGATTCAGAGGTATATACACTCACTTAATCCTCTCAACAGCTCAGCGAGGCAAACATCATCATCATCATCATCATCATCATCATTATTATTTTTGAGAAGAAGTCTCGCTCCGTTGCCTGGTCTGGAGTGCAGTGGTGCGATCTCAGCTCACTGCAACCTCCACCTCTTGGGTTCAAGTGATTCTCCTGCCTCAGCCTCCTGAGTAGCTGGGACTACATGCCTGGATAATTTTTTGTATTTTTAATAGAGACGGTGTTTCACTGTGTTAACCAGGATGGTCTCCATCTCCTGACCTTGTGATCTGCCCGCCTCGGCCTCCCAAAGTGTTGGGATTACAGGCATGAGCCACCACTCCTGGCTGCAAATGTGATGATTATCTCCATCTGACAGATGAGCGAAGGAGGCCTCGGTGCTTAGTGACTCTTCTGAGGCTACCCAGATGGTGGTGGTGGAGGACGCCAGGCTCCAGAGCAGCCACACTGCAGCACTGGGCGGGGCTGCCTGGGACCCTACTGGCTGAGCCACCTGGGAGAAGAGAGTCGAGGCCTCTGTGTGTTAACTCTTCTCAGGTTCTAATGGTATACTGAGGAAGTTATTTGATTAAAAGTAGGGAAACCTTCATTTCCTTTAACGGAGGACTGTACAGTAACATGAATCACTCCAACCGTGAGGCTACTTAAAAGTCATTGTGCTATTCGACTAGTGATCAAGAAACCGTGTAGGTTAAGAATTGAGTACGTCGTCCATGCTGGGCCCTGCACTGGGCGCTCAGGCCAAGCACGCAGATGACTGATGCTAAGTCTTCGCCAATGAGCTCACCCTCTGGGGTATCACATCATCACATTGACAAGCAGATGCTTTACAGTTACATAGTGCATGGTTTCTGAGTGAGATTCCCCCCTCCCACCCCACCCCACCATGTGCCTCGCCACAGAAGGGACTAGGTAAGGAGGAGAACAAGGGTGGGAGCCAGGAGTGGGCAGGTCTGGGTGTTTTGCCTGGCTGCTCAGGGCGGTCGTGGGAAACGGATCTCTCTCCTGCTCTAGAGAAGGACGCAGAATGTTTAGAAGAAAGACTGCTTTACATCCACGCCAAGGCGTGCATCCCATTTGGCATATGTGCTGCCTGCCACCAACTCTGCAAGTGGAATCAGCTGCTGTGACCACGTACATTAAACTTAGGTCTGGCTCACTTCCTGTCAATCATCCAGAAGCAATTTGCATCCTGCCTTTTTAACCTAATCTTGGTATTATTTGTAGCTGACATGATTTTGTTACTAGAAAGTCCAGTAGAATCTTCCCAGACAACATCAGAATTAACAATAGAATTTAGAAGGTCGTTGGATACAGCGTCAATACACAAAGATCAATAATATTTCTATAATCTGCAATAAAGAATCAGAAAAAGAATTTTCAAACTATTATTTCTAATAACATTTTTAAAAATCAAATATCTAGAAATAATATCTTACAAAACAGTGCAAATTCTCCACAGTGAAGACTACAATGATTGCTTACAAAAATCATGCGTTTCCTTCACAAACTCTTAGAAAATACAGGAAGAAGGAACACTTCCAGACTCATTCTGTGAGGCTAGTATTACCATGATAACAAAACCAAGCGAAGTCATCACAAGAAAAGAACCACAGGCCAATATCCTTTGTGACTATGGTCGCAAAAATTCTCAACAAAATATTAGCAAACCAAATCCGTCAACACATAATAAGGATCAAGTGCTGTGACCACATGGGATTTATGCCAGGATTGCAGAGCTGGTTTAAATCCCCCCCAAATCAATTACTATAATATACAACATTAATAGAGTTAGGGACAAAATTATGTGATTATCTCAATAGATGCAGAAACAGCATTTGAAAAATCCAACACCTGTTTGTGGTAATAACTTTCCACAAATTAGAACAGAAGAGAAATACCTTAACCTGATAAAGGGCATTTGCAACAAACCCATAGCCAACAGCATAGTTAATGGTAAAAGGCTGAACGCCTTCCCCTTAAAATCAGGTACAGCACGAGAATGTCAGCTCTTGCTACTTCTAGTCAACACTGCTAGCGTTCTGGATGATCCAAGTAGGAAAGAGAAAGAAAAGGCATTAGGATTGAAAAGATAGAAGTAAAACTCTCTTTGTTCACAGACAATACAATCTTGTGTGTAGAAAATTCTAAGGAATTTGTGCATGTGTGTGTATACACATGCTGCTAGAACTAATAAATGAATTTATAAGTCACAGAAATATAAAATTAACATACAAAAATGTTGTATTTCTATAAACTAGCTATGAGAAATCTGAAAATGAACTTCAGAAAGCAATTCCATTCATGATAGCATCAAAAAGAATAAAATACCTGGGAATAAATTTATCAAAAGAAGTGCCAAACTTGTACACTGAAAATTACAAACCATTGTTAAAGGAAAGCAAAGAATATGTAAATAAATGAAAATACATTCCATAGTTATAGATTGGAGGCAATATTATTACGACGACAATTCTCTCCAAATTGCTTCATAGATTCATTACAAACCCTATCAACATCCCAGCTGGCTTTTTTTTTTTTTTTTTTTTTTTTTGCTTTTTGCTTTTGAAAAACTATCTGAAAATTCATATGGAAATACAAAGGTAGAAGAACAGCCAAAATAATCTTGGAAAATAAAAACAAAGTTAGAATACTTACACTTCCAGACTTTGAATCATAGTGTAAAGATTTTGAATCATAGTAGTAAAGACTGCGTTATTGATTTGAGGACCGACATACAGATCAATGGAACAGAATTGAAAGTCCGTAAATAAACGCTTACATTTATGGTCAATTTATTTTTGACAAAGTCAGTGGTGGAAAGGTGTGTGTGAAAATGTTAAGAGGACAATTGGATATCTATATGCAAAAAGATGAATTCAGTCCCTTACCTTATACCATACACAAATAGATCTAAATATAAAAGCTAAACTGATAAAACTCTTAGAAGAAAAACATATATAAATCTTTGTGACCTTGTGTTAGACAAACATTTCTTAATGACACCAAAATATAACACATATTGAAAAAAATCAATACATTGGATTTGACCAGAATTAAGTTTTATGCTTCAAAGGACACCTTTAAGAAAGTGAAAAGACAAGCCACAGACTGGGAGAAGATATATGCAAATCATCTATCCAGTAAAGGACTTGCATCTAGAATATACAAGTACTTTTAGAACTCAATAAGAAAACAACTTAATTTTTTAAATGGGTAAAATATATTAATAGGCATTTTACCAAAGAAGATCTATGAACAGCCAATACAATCTTTTATGAACCTGTCAAAAGATACTTGACAGTATTGGTCGCAAGAGAAGCTTGAAGCCACTGCATACCACTTCTCACCCTCTAGGATGGTTATAGTAAAAAAGACAGACAATAGCAAATGTTGGCAAGAATGTGGAGATACTGGAACTCTGACATGCTGCAGGTGAAAATGTAAAATGGCGCCGCTGTAGAAAACGGAGCGGCAGTTTCTTTAAAAATTAAATGTGACTCACAGGACCCAGCAATTCCACTCCTAGGTATCTGCCCAAAACAAATAAAAGCATGTCCACACAAAGACTTGTGTGCCAATGTTTATGACAACATTATTCACGATTTCCCAACTGGAAACAATCCAAATGTTCATCAGCTTGTGACAAGATAAACAAAATGTGGCAATGTAGTGCTCAATTGGGAATAAAAAGGAGCAAAATACTGATACATGCTACAACGTGGACGATCCTCAAAAGCACTGTGCTCGGAGAAGAAACCAGATGCAAGGAGCCATGTATTTATGATTCTGTTTACATGAAATATCCGGAAAAGGGCAAATATCTAGAGACAGAAAATGGAGTCGTGACCTGAGGCTGGGGCTGGAAATGGGCACAAGGTTTCTTTTGGGGGTGCTGAAAATATTCTAGAATTAGATAGTGGTGATGGTTACACAATGCTGTAAATTTATTAAAGTCACTTAAAAAATAAGCTGTCATTAATTTCGATTTAGACATTGAAGAATTGATTATGACTCCCAAGCCAAATGGTAAGCATGCATATATCTCCTAAAGTACTTAGAGAACCTTATATTCTTTTCAGATTCTGGACCCCCAAATAATAGTTGACATTTGCACACTGCTTTATTGCTTACTTAACAAATCCTTTTGCCACGTTAATATTCACTGTGTCTCCGTATGAGGTGAGGGTTCTTTATTGACCCTGTGTTTCCAGTAAACAGTATCTCTCAGTTTTGGTATTCAGCCTACTTATTGATAAATTTTTCTTCTAGGGGAAGAAATTTGCCTCATGGTATTTTGCTCATGAGATGTTTTCTTTATGCGGCATGGCTGAAATTTTTCTTGCAAAGTAATTGTCCATTTATGTAATGGATGAGATTGTTGGTGGAGAAAACTAGCATAATTTATTCTTACTAAATTGGCAAACTGTAATTGAACTGATGGGAAGTTTTCTGCCCCATGCGGTTGAACTCCCCCAGCTCTCGGGGCTAGGGAAGTGAGGAGTTGTTCAAGCCACTCAAGCCCGTGGGGAAGGGAGTCAGCCTGAGCTTGAGAAATGGACCTCATTCCTCTCCTGAGGTTGTGTCCTGATACAGAATGATGTAGGAACTGCCCCTAGAAAGTTCTAGCATTCCCCTACACACACACACACACACACACACACGCACACGCACTGTGCTCATGTTACATAAGGATCATCAATCTATGTATTGGCACTTCCAATCATAATTCTATTTGGCCAAAGCTTGCTCTTTATTAAATGATGTTAAACATACATACATAATACTTTTTTCTTTTTCCTTTTTTTTTTTTTTTTTAAATTCCCTTATATACACTCTGATGCTCAGAAACCCGATGGACTGATAACAAGGGAAGAATTTCGACATATTCTAAATTGTGTGGCCGTAAAACTAAGTAATTTGGAATTCAAAGAGTTAATGCAGACACTTGACCCTGGGGACACTGGAGTGGTCAACACCAGCATGTTGATTGATCTGGTTGAAGAGAACTCTAGGGTGAGTTTCATAATAACTTCCTGTTTGGTTTTCTCTTTATGGCAGGAAGTTTCAGAATTCCTGATAAGAGAGGCAGGTGAAATATGGTTTAAATAAATTAATGACTTGGAGGTTTTCAACTCAATCATTTTAAGTAAGGGTCAAGTGTTTAAGAGTGGTTTGATTTTAACTTCTAGTTTCTGAATCTTAAAAAAGGATGGTAATTGACATTTCAGAAAACCCATGCCTGAACGAGAGCCCTTTATATACAGGATGTAACTCGTGGCCCTCCGACAGTCCTCCTTTTGCAGCCATGTCTTTAAAAGGAGAATTTGGCCTGAGGTGGGCAGATCATGAGGTTAGGAGTTCAATACCAGCCTGGCCAACCTGGCGAAACCCAGTCTCTACTAAAAGTACAAAAATGATCCAGGCGTGGTGACGGGCACCTATAATCACAACTACTTGGGAGGCTGAGGCAGGAGAATCACTTGAATGTGGGAGGCAGAGGTTGCAGTGAGCCAAGATCCTGCCGCTGCACTCCAGCCTGGGCAACAGAGCAAGACTCTGTGTCCAAAAAAAAAAAAGGAGGAGTATTTGTGAGTGACTATTCTGGTTCTCATTCATATTTTTAGAGTTTCATACCCTATGTTGGTTCAACTTCTAAAAAATAACTGTGTATTGCCATTAGTGACTAGCATTTGCCTTTATTATTTGTTTTTTTTTTTGACTGAAAAGTTAACAGTTTTGTTATTAGAAATGCATAGCTATTAGCATTTGAAAATTTTAAAGAACTTTATCAGATTAATTTCAGATCATGCAATAGGCTTTAACAGACTCTTGTTGAAATGTTTTTTAAAAACTTCTTTTAACAGGTACAAATTAGCTTTTAATTTTAGATTTATGAAGTTGGCATCCCTATGAATCAAAATCAAACCAGTAATATCACGAGATGCACTATTTCCCTAAAGGTGGTGTTTCTATTGAATGGATCTGAATAGGGTTCCTTGCTTTGGGGAAAGCTTTAAGAAGATTTAGCTGAAGCCAGCTGCAATCTATTCCAATGGTTTCTGTGCAAAATGCAATTAATTAATCATCAATGAATCCTTTCCATCTGTTGTGGTTTTGCATCATGGTCTTGGGAAGAGTTTGTGGCATACTTCTTGGTTTAAAATGGGACCGTTTATTGAGGTGAAAGTGTCGTTTTTAAATTACCTCCTCTTGGTACATGTAGAAATTTTCCACCAACATTTTGGAGGTAATTTTAATAGACCATAATACATAACTTATTCAAATATTTTGTGATTATACAAGTAACAGAAATTCACTGTAGATTAGAAAATATCCCAAACTACAAAGGTGAAAATAATGATAAAAATCCCAAATCCCAACACTCAGAGATATTTACAGTTAACATTCTGACAAATGTTCTTCTACTTTTTGTGTGTAGGTGTGCACATTTTTTTGTAAACGTGGTTGAATTCATTATTTGTATGATTTTGTATCCCATTTTTCCAACTTCACATTATATGATAAGCATTTCCACCCCATCTCTCATCATTAAAAACTCATCATAAACAAGATTTTCACTGGTATCTGAGAGTGTTCTGTGTGCATACTTGTCACGGCAATGGTTAGGCTGTTTCTCTGTTTACTTTCATTACGCTAGGTATCTTTGTGCTCAGATCTTCATTCACATCGAAATATTTCCTTAGAATAGATTTTAGAAGTGGAAATATTGGCCCAAGAGGTGTGGGCATTTTTATGATTCTGGATATATATGTATCCAGACATATTGTATATCCAGATATAATATATAATTACATCGTATATTACATATTATGTTTTCTTTTGTTTTTGTTTTTGTTTTTTGTTTTGTTTTTTTTTTGAGACAGAGTTTCGCTCTTGTTACCCAGGCTGGAGTGCAATGGCGCGATCTCGGCTCACCGCAACCTCCGCCTCCTGGGATCAGGCAATTCTCCTGCCTCAGCCTCCTGAGTAGCTGGGATTACAGGCACGCGCCACCATGCCCAGCTAATTTTTTGTATTTTTAGTAGAGACGGGGTTTCACCATGTTGACCAGGATGGTCTCGATCTCTTGACCTCGTGATCCACCCGCCTCGGCCTCCCAAAGTGCTGGGATGACAGGCTTGAGCCACCGCGCCCGGCACATATTATGTTTTTACAAATATATTAACTGTATTACATCTTGGTATCTGCTTTTTGTTTCACTTTATGATTACTTCTTTAGTATGCATTTCTAGAAATGGAATTATATAACATATATTTTATATAACAATTGAATTATGCATATTGTTATATACATATCTATGTATATATATATACATAGATATGTAATGGAATAGAATTATACTATATCTGGATATATTTGTAGACATTTGTACACTGCTTTATCACTTACTTAATAAATCCTATATATGTTATGCTATATTATATGTTATATAATACACATTATATATTACAAATTAGCTATTTTATATATTTACTATATTACTACATTATAATATAGTTGTTATATATATAAAATTCCTTAATACATAAAAGGCCTTGTGATCTATTTTGCTGGACAGTGGGTAGGAATAGGCTGACAGTTAAAGTGTCGGCTGTAGCCCTCACCTGTCCCACGTAGGTGGTAGCTGGGTGTGTGAACCTGTGCACCCAGGCCGTGTGTGTGACATGTGGAAGCCTGAGCCTATGCCTTGATTCGGTTTGCTGCCAGTGCCTCAGAGTTAGAGCAAGCCTGGTGGCCGGGGAACAGAGGCATCCAACTCCCTGCCCCCACCCCTTAGTAGCTGTGACTTGAGGCAAATAATCGGGCTCTCTAAGACTCATTTCTTTACCTGTAAAACCAGGTTGATTAGGGTACCACCTTGTAAGGTTGTTGTGGGAATTTAACAGGATAATCCACATAAAATGTTAGGAATCTTTTTTCTTTAAAAACAAAATGTAGACACGTAAGCAATCCCTTCTCCACGCGGCAGGTGCTGTGACCTTTGCTTAGTATGAGTCGGATCATGTCTGTCTTCACGCCTTCACCTTTCCAGTGGCTTTCTGGGAAGACCCACTCGTCCAGTTCCTCAGGCCTCCTGCCCGCCCGGCCACCCCTACCAGTGCTTAGCATGTGCTGCATCTGCTGCCCGGGATTCCTTCCAGCGCCTCATAACCTCTGTTACCACTTCCAGAGCTCAGTGCCCCGGAGCCCTCCCAGCCTCAGAGTCAACGTTCGTGGCCTGATGTTGTCCTGACTCCACAAAGGCAGAGGCCTTGCTGTCATCACTGCCCATTGTACTGTCGGGGACAGCCAGTGTCAGCCACACTCACACAATTTATTGAATGAGTAAATTAACATGAATGAAGGAATTGGAAAAATTAGAAAACACAGATGTGCAATAGACAAAAAAATCACCACGAATTCTAACACTGAAGCATTGTTATTTACTGTTATACTTTGCTGTATGTTCCTCCAAATCCATATACATACACACCCATACTTGTGTTTCTTAAAAACAGCTTTATTGAGGTGATACTCAAAAACTGTACGTATTTAACATACGCAGTTTGATGAGTTTGAATATACACTTCTGTAGATTGTAGCTATTTTATTTAAAAACAAGCCCATATAATGACTTGTTAGCCTATATTGTCACTTATGGACATACTGTTAACACTTCATATCAATAAAAGTTCTGCTATTTAATTTAATTTTATTTATTTTAGAGACAGAGTCTCGCTCTGTCCCCCAGGCTGGAGTGCAGTGATGCAATCTCAGCTCACTGCAACCTCCACTTCCTGGGTTCAAACAATTCTCCTGCCTCAGCCTCCCGAGTGCGGGGATTACAGGCACCCACCACCGTGCCCGGCTAATTTTTGTATTTTTAGTATAGGCAGTGTTTCACCATGTTGGCCAGGCTGGTCCCAAACTCCTGATTTCAGGCGGTCTGCCCGTCTCAGCCTCCCAAAGTGCTGGGATTACAAGCTTGAGCCACTGTGCACAGCCTGCTATGTAATTTTAAAAGATACTAAGTAACTATTATAATTTGGATGTTCATTTATTTTTTATTTTTAAAATTTTGCTGCAATAAGCATCTTGGCACTGGCTTTTTCGTATCACTCTATGATTATTTAGTACAAATTTCAAGAACTGGAATTAAAGAATATGTTTTATTCTATTGATATTTTAATAGTTTTTAAAGGGAATGATATATATATATATAGTACAGAATGCCAAGGACGCAGGAGGTGACGCAGTGAAAGGAAGTTTTTCCTTAGCCAGCCCCGAGCTGCGGTCCGCCTCCCCAGCAGCAGCCTTCATTGCTGTAGAGTCTGTAAATTATCAGATTGTCAAATCGTATCCAAATGTACCTTAAGGCAAAAATATCTTCCAGAAAGTTAGATGAATTTACACTGCCACCATTTCGGAAACCCCCACCCCCAAACAGAAGGCAGTTTGCTTACTTGTGCGTTTTTTGCCATCCTGAGAGGCAAAAATGCATCTCGTTATTCTTCTACTTTGCATTTATGTAATTTCTAGGTGATAGGTTTTTTCATGTTTATTGCACTTTTCTTTAAGTGAAAGTTAAATTTTTTTTAACTTTCATGTTAAGTTCAGGGCTGCAAGTGCAGGTTTGTTATGCAGGTAAACTTGTGTCATGGGGGTTTATTGTACAGATTATTTCATCACCCAGGTATTAAGCCTAGTATCCATTAATTATATTTTTCCTGATCCTCTCTGTCCTCCCAACCCTCACCCTCATTCTCCTGAGGGTGAAAATTCTCCAGAATTCTCAAGTGTGCATTGTTCCCCTCTGTGTGTCCATGTGTTCTCATCATGTATCTCCCACTTATAAGTGAGAACACTGGTATTCCATTTTCTGTTCCTGTGTTAGCTTGCTAAGGGTACTGGCCTCCAGCTCCGTCTGTCTCTGCAAAGATCTCATTTTTTTTTTATGTCTGCGTCGTATTTCAAGTTAAGTGTTATAATCCTTATTTTCAGGTGGGTATTAGAGGGCAGACTCAGTTGTTCAAGGTCTCAAAGCTAATGGCTGATTAAGGATAGAGCAGGGATTCAAGTCCGGGTCCACCTGCCTCCAAAGCTCCTAATGACATGAATGGCATTTATTTATATACCTTCTCTTTCCCAATTAGATGAGAAAAAAATCTCCCTGTACAGACACGAAGACACCTCTCCTCCTGGCCTGGGATTCAGTAAGTAACACTTGCCTTCTTTCTGTGGGCAGCTTCCTATGTGGTTGGGGGTTACTGTTTCAAGAGGTTACAGAAGTACAGCTTAGGAAATATGTTTGCTTTTTATGTTAGGTGGAAGAAGTTGTCCACGATACAATTGCTAAGAACCTACAAGCTTTTTACAACATACTATGCTCATATGACCGTGGAGACACGGGGCTCATTGGCCGAAATAATTTCAAGAAAATCATGCACGTATTCTGCCCATTTTTAACGAACGCACATTTCATAAAGTAAGTTTTTCCTAACAACATTCATTCATGTCTTTCTTTCACAAGGCCTGCTCCATGATTCCAAGCCTTTTTCTATGTGTTTTTGAAATATTAATAGGTAATATTGATAATAACTGCTACTCACTGAATCGTTGCTAAGCACTGGAGGTTGCTTGAGAGTCTGACGTACGTTGTAGCCGTGTACAGGTAGCTAGTGTTAGTCCTTTCTACAGACCGAGAAACGGAGGTCTGGAGAAGTTCAATACTCACTCCAAGTCACACAGCTGGTGAGTTGAGAGACCTTCATTCCCCACTGATTGATTCCTGAGCTCTCTTTTTTCTTCTTTTCTTGCAAGCAAGTATCTTTCCTCTATTTTTTTTTTTTTTAGTAATATCTTGTAAAGTATTGCTCAAGATGCAAAGATTTCATCTCAACTCTTGTTGAGTTGAGACATTTTGTGTACGTGAGTTGCAGTGGTTAAATATGTTGCATTCTGATAGAGCGTTGTTAGCAAGAGCTTCAGGTAGTTTTGAAACCACAGTGATCAAATAATGATAACGGAGCCATTTGATGATACACAGTCAACTATTATTGCAGACCAGTCATGGTTAAGACAGAATAAAGTTCTAGACACTTCATTTCTGGGCCAATAAATGTGATCATTGGACCACAGCTGATGAGTGCCCGGGGCTCACTTCTCCCCACGCTGGCACAGGCTGCAGGGCTGGGGAGGAGGAAGTCCGTGCTCTAGTCTTTTTACTGTTTCACCTTCCAGCGTGTTTGGCTGTGGTTGGCTATCCCATAAACAGTATCTTGAATTACATTTTTGTATCACTTCAGTTTCAAACTTCATTTGTAATGGACAAGCCAAAGCTGGAAGGGGACCGATGTCAGATGTTAGATGGCTGAGTGGGGGTGGGAAGACAGCGAAGACAGCCTCCCTCAGACCCGTCTCGGTCTCCTCCCTCTGATCTCTCTCCCCCTCCCCACATCTCCCCTTGGGACACAGAGCCTGGCTGCTTCCCTTGAGGTCCTTTTGCAGAAGACCTTGAGAACTGACCGCTGGAAACCCCACCGGTCTGTGGAGGACAGTGCCTCCCTTGTCACCACCTGAGTGTCCTGCCGTCCGCTCAGACCTGCTCTTGAAGAGCTGAGACCCGGATGACCGTAGCCGTGCAGGCCAGGGTTTCCCGAGGCGAGGGCAATGATTCGGGCAGTAACAGGGTTTCCCGAGGTGAGGGCAGTGATTCGGGCAGTGACTTTGGAGGAAATCGAATCACAGGGAAGAAAGTTATTCTGTCTTCAAGGATTCTAACCATCCTTCTTGTTGATTTTGTTTACACTACATTGATTTGCACAAGTGGACCTACTGGTAGTTAGCGGTCACTCAAGCCTCTTTTCTGTGAACATTCATGATTCCTAACCTATTTTTTAAAAGGTTGGTTTTTGTAGGAAGAGGAGGATTTAGTAAGAGGAGGGGTAAGGCAAAGGCTTCGCTATCAGGAGGGGCTTGGTGTGTCTGGCTCGAACATTTGCATTTTATCCAGTTCTTATTGAATGTTGGTAGAAAGACCAGTTTGCTGGAATATGGAAAAAACACTGGAATGGGGAGAAACGGTGAGATTGCAAGTTGAAAGAGGGTTCTAGAGAGTTCAGGTGAGAGACGGCGAGGGCCTGCACTGAGCAGTGGCCCGGCGGGAAAAGAAATGAGGCCACATGCCACCTCGCTGTGTGTGTGTGTGTGGGAAGGGTTCGGCTACTCTTGGCCTTTGTCTGGACTGGTTGGGCCATTCTCTCACGCCTTCACTGAGCCTTTCATTCAGTGAACATCAGAGAGTGCCTCCTGCATACAGGCTCTCCCAGGTAATAGGCTTACACGATCCCTGCATTTCCAAGGTGGTCTAGAGTAGAGGGAAAGAGCTGCAGACAAACCCAGCACGGCACTGAAGTGCTGCAGCACCTGTGTGCTTGGTGCTTCCGTGGAGGAGGAATGCTCGCTGACAGTGGGGTGACCAGGAGCAGGTGGTGCAGATTGCAGGGAAGCTTCCCAGGGACGTGGTGCTTGAGTCTAGAGAAAAAAAAAGGAAGGGGATTTCAGGATATGGGATGCCAGAGGAAAGCCCAGAGGGCCGGAGGAAACTAGCATACTCCAGTCAAGTCACCCTGCATGGGGCATTCAGGGACTGGCAGGTCAGACATGACAAGTGGAGTGGGATGTTTTTCAGGAGAAGAGCAGTAGGGGGTCGATGCCAGGGGGACAGGCAGGGCCCAGCACGGGTTACATATCCCCATCCTGCGGCCTCAGGATTCATCCAGCAGGGCGCTAGGTCTCTACATTTTAATTTCCCCTTTTAAAAATTTTTATTAATTTTAAAAGAAGGCTTTTCTTGCTGCTCTACGTGGAAAACAGCACCACTCACCATAAGGAGGTAATCAGAAGATTGGGTGTCATGAGAACAACAGGGTTCCATCCTAGTGGGAGGTCTCTGTCTGCCAAAGGTTTCGAGCATGGGGCTTGCTATGACTTCGTTAAAATGTAGGTTGGGAAGTACAAAAAATATGAGCTGTGTTAGACATCACTCAAAGTAACAGAAATGCAAACGTGCCAGCGTGCATTCAAAGTCGTGCTCAGTGCCGACTGGAAGTGGCGTGTCGACGCTCTCGAGTGGGCTGAGGTGGGAGACAGCCCCTTTTTGGGAGTGAGTTTGGTGTAACAACGGACCTCCGGTTTGTCTCTGCCGCTCTTCCAGGAACAGAGATCATGGCCACATCTGGGGACTCAGGACACATCTTGGACTTGCCAGTGCTGTGGGTTAGGGTCGGGTGAGAAGGACCCAAGGAGGCCTCTGCGTTTCTGGCTTGAGCAGCTGGGTATTTGGGATTGTCGTTGAGACAGGGTGACTGGGAGAGGAACAGTGTCAGAAGTGAACATCAGAAGTTTTATCTTGGATGCATTGACTTGGAGAGGAGATTGGTGACATGTCACCAGCTAGAGTGGGCGGTTCTGTATCCCCACCTCAATCTCACGTTGAATTGTAGTCCTCCATGTCAGAGGAGGGGCCTGGTGGGAGGTGATCGAATCCTAGGGGTGGGCTTTCTGCCTTGCTGCTCCTGGGATCGATTTCTTAGGAGACGTGGTCACTTGAAAGCGTGTAGCACGTCCCACTTCTCTCTTGCTTGCTTCTGCTTTGCTTTCTGCCGTGATGGTAAGTTTCCTGAGGCTTCCGCAGAAGCAGAGCCTGCACCGCCAGTAGAACTGTGAGCCAATTAAACCTCTTTGCTTTACAAATTACAGTCTTTCTAGAAGTGTGTGAAAGGACCACTGTAGGCGGTCGCTCCGTCCCCCTCCCCATCTCACCCCACAGTTTCTCTCTAGCCACCGGCTGCATTTGTCATGCCTCTGGTTCTTTATGCGTGTGTGTTCATCACCTGTGTCACTCGCCAAGGACGTAGAAGGCAGGGGCTTCGTCTGTCTCTTTTGCTCCTGAAGCCCCAGTACCTAGGGGTGGAACAATGTCTGGGACATGATTGGGGCTTCCTAAATATTGTGTGAGTGAATGAATGAATAAAGGAAATCTAATGGGTTGATCATGTAGGCAGTTGGGTATTAGACACAGAGCCTTCTCCAATCCATTCTCCATGATGTAGCCACACTTTGTCTGTCTAAACTACAAATCTGATCATGTTAAACCTTTGCTTAAAACACCTTACAGTCCCATTGCCATTAGGAACCATGCGGAGGCTTCCCACGCCCTCTCAGTGCCTCTCACCTGTCGGGAGCTCAGACTGTGCAGCCAGGGGGCCTGGGGCAACTCCCGGCCCAGCCTTGAATTAGCTGTAAACATGGGCAAGCTATGTAGCCTCTCAGAGCCTCTATTTCTTCATCCAGATATTTCTTAACTGGAGTTGTGAGAAGGATCAAATGAGATCTTACACACAAAGCCTTACTACCTCAGGGCCAGGCATACGCTGAGGGCTCAGCCAGTGTTTGCTGCTGCCTCTGCTGCTGGTCTCAGCTCCAGCTATGTTGACCTGCTTTCCATTCCTGGAAAACACTGAGCTCTCTCTTGCCTCTGGGCATTTAGACCATCTTTCCCTGTGTTCCAAGTGAACAGTCTCTCCCAGCTGACCAAAGTTCAGTGAGGTAGGTGTTGTTCTGGTTTGTTCACAGTTGCAACAGTAGTTAGCACAGTGCTTCATACATAGCTACATGAATATTTATAGGAGCGATTGTAATCCTAGTGAGCACCTATTGAGCAAAGTACGGCTTCGGAGCTCATGCTCAGCCCCCAGCTATAGGCAGCTCATCGGAATGATGTCATAGTACTGTTATTACAGCTGCAGTTTATTAAGCACATATGCATAAAGCATGTCAGCCCCAGTGCTGAGAGCTTTACCTGGATTCTCCCACCTGATCATTACAGCAGTCCTCTGAGGTAGCTACTTTTATGATCTGCATTTCATAGATAAGGAAACTGAGGCACAGCAAGCGGAAGGAGGGTGCCCCAGGTCAGAGGTCCTCAGCACTTCTTGTCTCAGGACACTTTTATCCTCTGAAGAATTATCGAGGACCTCAAATGGTGTCTCTCATGTGGAGTATGTCATTATGTACTGTATCAGAAACTAAAATGAGACATTTTTAAAGTGTCGTTGCCAAAACAACTATACTTCCTTGCTGTGCTTTCATGTAGGCTCAGGGAAAGCTCTGGGATTTCAAAATAGCAGTTTGTTGAGTGATAATGAGGTTACAGCAGTTACAGCAAGTGTAACTGAAGGTCTCTAGTAGAGAGCCCTGTAGAAAGGCTGTACAAAAACTGAGTTAATCACTGAAAACTACTCCTGGTTCCTCACTTACACCCTCAGCCTACAACCTTAAAAATGTTAAAAAAAACACAACCTACGCAAGAATACATTTTGTCTGTGAACACGACCACCTATGTTGCCTCTTACTGACTTTACGACCACCTATGTTGCCTCTGATTGACTTTACATGCATAGAAGAACCAAGTGAAAAAGGGAAATCACACTCCAATGTTGATAGAAAAATAGTTCTGGCCATGCTGATGCTCTGGAGGCATCCTCAGACCACACTCTGTGAGCCCTTCAGTCATATGATTTTTATAATTCTTTATAATTTTATGATTTTCATAATATAATTTTTAATAATTCTTTCTTACGTTTACTGTATCTGCATTATGGTTTACTTTATACACAAGAAGCTGCACGTTTTTAAATGGTACAATGGATGAAATTCATCTTGTGTCAGCATCTATAAAACCCTCACAAGATATCAAATATTTTCCCCACCCCCAAAAATCTTCCACGTGCCCTTTAGCAATTCGTCATCACTTCCTCCCACCTCCGTGAAACCAGTGATTTGCTCTCTTTCATGATAGATTACTCAGTGTTTTCTAGGACTTTATGTATATGGAAGCACACAAGATATTCTGTTTTTTGTCTGGGTTTATTCACTAAGCATAACAATCTTGTGATTCATTCACTTTGTTTTCTGTATACCAACAGTTCTTTCCTTTTCACTGCCAAGTAGTATTCCATTGAATGGGTTTACCATAGTTTGTGTACACTTTCATCTCTTGATAGGCATAGGTTTGTTTTTAGTTTTTGGCTATTAAAAATAAAGCTGTATACGTAACGTTTGGCTGTTATGAATAAGGCTGTACATATTTGTGTAGACATGCATTTTCATTTCTCTTTGGTAAATGCCTTAGAGCGGTGATACCATTTTACGTTCCCACCAGCGGCAGATGAAAGCTGTAGCTACTTGCGTCTTCACCAACACTTGGCAGGATCCATCTTTTAGTTATTCTACTGAGTGCATTCTAATTATTTTTAAAATTCAGACTCTGCAGTAAGTTTCAGGACATTGCTTCAGGAAGAATCTTTTACAAGAAACTTTTGGCGCACGTAGGAATCGATGGCCCACCCACCGTCTCTCCAGTTCTCATTCCAAAGGACCAGCTGTCAAATGAACATTTACAAAAAGATGAGCAGCAGCAGCCAGGTCTTTCCAAGAGGTAAAAATCAAGCAAAATGAATGCACAGATCAAAACCACAGTGTCTGTTGTGGAATAAGGATTTAGTCACTATTTGTTGACTGAGTGTTTTAATATTTCATTTTTTAACTAAGAAAGATGGCACACTGGAAACAGTGATTAGAGTCAGGGAATTTTAGAGCAAGCAGAGATCTTAGGAACTATTGAATCTTCCTATTACATTTAGAAATTAAAACACTGATGTCTGAGAGGTTTGGGGACTTGGCTCAGAAGCTTAGTAGCTGGCCTGGGTCATGAATCTGGGATTCCTGACTCCCAGAGACAACCTGTAACTTCTCTGTTACTTAGCTGCATTCACATTTACTCTTTTCCAGAAACTTAGATTCTTTACCACCACTTAATTTTTATTGTAACACACATCCCTGAAACCAGTTAACATTTTCTAATACGAATGATAGAATGATTAAAATGATTTCCAAATTGAATTGTAACAATAAAACATACTTAGTAAATCTATAAAAAATTAGACTGATGAATATTCTAGCTCTTCTTCATTTTAAAAAATAAAAGTTTAGTTTAATGAAAAGATATTATTTTAACTTGCTCATTCATAGCTTATAATAAATTCATAATGAAAGGTAAAATGTGGAACTATTCAGCAGACTTCACTTTGTCATAGCCCTTTTAAAAGTTCTTAAGAGCAATGGGAATATTTTAATGATATGCTAATTAAATTTGAATACCTGGGCTTTTCAGTAGTAGCAGCTTTTATAAATGGGCATAAAGATGGTATTTTAAGAGACAGGTTAAATATTCCATGATAAGATATGTCTGCTTCCTAAAACTGGTGAAAGAAGCAATGGCAATTAAACATTTCATAAAATGTAGCTTTCCTGGGGAGCTCTTAAAAATCAAGAGGTGCAGCAGGGAAGGAATAGAAGTCCCATCTCCACAACTGTCTCAGAGCTGTTTCTTCCCCAAAAATATGGGGCCCAAGAGACTTCCAGAGAGCTGAGGAAATAACTATCCTCCAAACACCCACGTCCACACACTCAGACACATCCACACTTACACTCACAGAACAGCACATTCAATTCGTATTTTATAAATCAAGTTGATTTATGGAGCAACTGCGGGCTTCCCTTCATTTCCATGGATGCTTATGACTTCCTTGATCTAGTTACCACAAAATGGCCTATTTCTTTCATTTAAAGCTTTTTTAATGGGCTCTGACTTTAAATTTTTCCACTTTACAAAAGAATCCTTTTTCAACCATGTGTGCCCAGTCACATGCCACCTTCGGCCTGCTCAAAGCATAATTGAAAATCTCAAGGACAATAATGTTCTCTCCCTTCAAGTCCCCAACCCTGGCCTGCCACCATACGTGGGCTTTCACTTGGACACTGTGCTGGGGCCCTGCAGTACTGGCCCTGGAGCCTCCTAGCCAGGGGAGTATAAGAAACCCCTGAGTCACTCCACCATCCCCGCCAGGTAAACCCAGATGGTAAACCTTTTTTTTTTTCTTTTGTTTTTGAGACAGAGTGTTACTCTGTTGCCAGGCTGGAGTGCTGGAGTGCAGTTGCACAATCTCAGCCCACTACAACCTCCGCCTCCTGGGTCCAAGTGACTCTCCTGCCTCAGCCTCCCGGAGTAGCTGGGACTACAGGCACGCACCATCACGCCCAGCTAATTTTTGTATTTTTAGTTGAGATGGGGTTTCACCATGTTGGCCAGGATGGTCTCCCTCTCTTGACCTTGTGATCCACCCGCCTCGGCCCCGCAAAGTGCTGAGATTACAGGTATGAGCCACTGCCCCTGGCCTGGTAAACCTTTTTCTTTTCTTTTCTTTTTTTTTTTTTCCTTGAGATGGAGTTTTGCTCTTGTTACCCAGGCTGGAGTTCAATGGCGTGATCTCGGCCCACTACAACCCCCGCCTCCCAAGTTCAAGTGATTCTCCTGCCTCAGCCTCCCCAGTAGCTGGGATTACAGGCATGTGCCACCACACTCAGCTAATTTTATATTTTTAGTAGAGACAGTGTTTCCCGATACTGGTCAGGCTGATCTTGAACTCCTGACCTCAGGTGATCCACCCACCTTGGCCTCCCAAAGTGCTGGGATTACAGGCGTGAGCCACCGCACTGAGCCCCAGCCTGGTAAACCTTCTTCCTGTCATGAGTTACGTGGAAATGGGCGAGGTCTGGAGGAAGCACTCTGCCTGTGTCAGCTGACACCGGTCTAAACGCCTGCTTGTGATTTTAGAACCAAGGCCACTGGGGATCAAACCACCCCAACCAAGAAGATGACCAAAGAAGAAGTTATTGAAAAATTGAAAAACTGTATACAGCAGCAGGACGCAGCATTCAAAAGACGATTTCTTGACTTCAGCAAGGAGCCTAATGGAAAAATTAACATGCATGACTTTAAGAAGGTAGGAGAATGGGTTTCTCTTCGTTTCTTTCCTGCGAAAATTCAGTTGTTTTCTTAGATGAACATACTTTAAAGGACAATGGCTTATCCCAGGATGCAGCAGATCCATTTTTAGGCATCTTTCAACAATTTTAAAGGATTTTTTTTTGTTCTGGCCAAAAAATTGTCATTGGCAAATTCCTCAGAGCATACTTTCAATATGGATGTGACCAGCTTTTGGTATTTAAACTTTTACATATCAGAGGCATTTATTGACACATTGTTTGGCTATCTGCTCCCTACCTGGCGCTGTGCAAGTGGGGCAGCGTGCAGTGGGAGTACAAAGACGGCCCCCGCCTGCCAGTGGAGAGTTCCCAATCGCAGAGCTGTGGTTTGGTCCTCTAGACAGAAAGAAAAAAAAAACAATCTGGCAGTGAAATATGGGAAACTCAGAGTGCTGATTTGCATGTGCTTATGGGAACTGGTGAGTTTCTGCCAGAAAGGGCTCAGCTTGAAGGGTTCTGCATAGACTTCTCAGGAATTAATTTAAATGATTGCTTAAAATTCCTATTATGATCCCTCTAGCTAATCATCCTCAGCTATTTTTAAGGAAAGCATTTCAGTTAATATGTAGCAGTGTCCATGTGGACAAATTTAGAAGAAGGCAATGAAATATATTTCCAAGAAGAGAGTAATTACATTAGTGGCCCCTCCATCCGGTGCCTGCCCCACTGCCGGCCGTTGGAATGGGCTCTTTATGGGTCTTATTTCTAAGCCTCCAGACTGCAGTGTCACGGGGGAGCGTGGACTAGAGGAGGGAGCAGGGCTACAGGCACAGAAATGGGATTAGGTAGCTACTGAAACAGTCCAGACCCTCTCCCCTGCCCAGCCAGAACAAGACAAGATGTGGAGTCTTTTGTTGTCTAAGCATATGGGAAGGCCAGGAGAATAGATTCAAGAAAGACTCAGCAATAAGGGACTGAGGATAGGAAATGAGGGATAGGGGATAAAACATAAGGGAATAGGCTGTGCACGGTGGCTCATGCCTGTAATCCCAGCGCTTTCGGAGGCTGAGGCGGGTGGTTCACCTGAGGTCAGGAGTTCAAGACTAGCCTGGCCAACATGATGAAACACCGTCTCTACTAAAAATACAAAAATTAGGCGGGTGTGGTGTCATGCACCTGTAATCCCAGCTACTCCAGAAGCTGAGGCAGGCGAATCACTTACCCAGGAGGCGGAAGTTGCAGTGAGCTGAGATCGTGCCACTGTACTCTGGCTAGGCGACAGAGTGAGACTTAGTCTCAAAACAAACAAACAAACAAAACAAGAAATAAGGGAAGGGAATAAGGGAGGGGAAGTGTTCCCAGATTTCTGGTTTGGGGACCAGGTGGCCGATAACGAGTCACTGATGAGTTGAGAGCGATTTCAATGGAGTGAGTGGTAGCGATGGGAGTTGAATTTTACGGACTGAACACTGCGTGAGTGCGATGTGACTCCTCCGTTCCTGCCCGTGCAGGGCCCTTTGTCTTAGATTTTATTTCACCCTAAGCCAAATGGCACAGGTTCTTGGCCATAGTGCTTAATGATCTTGAACTCTCACAGTGCTCTGTGTTCCTGATTCTCAGAGTTGGATCCCATCCCTGGTCTGCCCCTGGTTTTTCAGAGCAGAAAGTGACTATCTTAGAGAAGTGGCAGCAGAGGGCAGCAAGGCAGGGACTAACACCCGTGGCCTGCGTTCCAGAGCGGCTTGTTACCTGCCCCAGCCTCCTGTCACCTGAGGGCAGCTTCAGGTCCTCAGCTCCCTTGCCGGTTTTTCAGGCTTCCGGTTGCACCTGCCATCGATAAACCAGCGTCTCCCGAGTTCGTGTCCCCGAGCCCCCTCCTGAATGTTAATCCCATGAACCTTCCTGCCCACCTGCCTTCTCCATGTGGGCAGAGCCAAAGAGGGTCTGTGTTCTCATCATGGGCACTCTGCCAGCATCCTTCCTGTTCTCAGTCAAAGCCAAAAACCTTTTTTTTCCCAGTTGCTCAGGCCTAAAATCTAGTCATCTTTACTGAGTCTGTCCTTCTTGTGCCCATGCCCAATTCACCAGCAAAGCCTGCTGGCTCCCTTCCAGATAGTTCCAGAATAGATGGCCCCACCTGCACTGCTCCCCCCACCCAGCATCTCTCATGGGGTTACCACCGCAGCCCCTTCACCGCCTCCCTGCTTCCACCCTGGCCGTGTGCAGTTCATTCTCAACCCAGCAGCCAAAGTGACCCCTCACGAGAGCCCACCGAGGGCCCCTCAAACACAAACTGGACCGAGCGTGTGTGGTCCAACCGCTGTGGCCTCTCTGACCTCAGCTCTGGTCACACTCCCTTTGCTCAACCAACTCCAGCCACATCAGCTTCCTCGCCCCTCAGACACAGGTTGGTCCTTCCTTGGCACTGGCCATGCCCTCTAGCTGGATCTCGGCTCCTTGGGTAACTCCTGAGTTCATATCCCAGAGCCCCCTCCTGATTGTCAATCTCATGCACCTACCTGCCTACCTGCCTTCTCCATGTGAGCACAGCCAAAGAAGGGCCATGTTCTCACCAAGGTTGCTCTGCCTACATCCTCTCCCCTCACCTCCTTCCAGTCTCTGCGCAACTGCTCTTCCTCCGCCAAGGCGACCCTGACGTTCCTGTTACAAATACAGCCCACCCTCCTCGCCTTCACCTCCTGCATCCTGTTTCCCGTCCACAGCCCCCATCCTGTGGATTGCACGGTACTGACCATGCCTATCCTTTGTTTCTGCATTCTGTCTGCTTGCTTGCCCTCCTCTGTTATAAAATACACTCCAAAGGTCGACATTGGGTCTCTTTTGTGTACTGATGCACGTGGCAGGGCCCAGGGAGCATGTACTGAACGAATGAGTGAGAGAGTGCTGAAGGAATGAGTGAGAGAGTGCTGAACGGATGAATGAGAGAGTACTGAATGAATGAGTGAGAGACTGCTGAACAAATGAATGAGAGAGTACTGAACGAATGAGTGAGAGACTGCTTGGCATCCCCAGTGCAACCCTAAATGAATGCCGCCCCGAGGACTGATGGACGTGGGCATTCCTAGATGAGAAGCCGCTTTGTACACCCGTCTGGAGTAGTGCCCTCCAAACCCTGTGCTCTTCTCTGCCCCATGAATTTCTCTGGGCTCTGGCTGACCCCAGGGTTCAGCTAACTGAACAGCTGACCCGCTGGCTTGTCCCATGGCAGCAACCAGCATGCTCCTACTGCTTCCCCTTGCCTATCTGCAGGCTTCTTGGAGACCTCCCTGCTGCCTGAAGGCAGCCCACAGGGAGGGCCGAGGAGAAGCAGAAGTCCAGAAAGGACTTTGCTGCAGTCAGTTTGGGCAGTTTTAACAAAGTGCCCTGGACTCTGGACTCAGCGGCTTACAGATAATGGAGATTTCTCTCTCACAATTCTGGAGGCCGGAAGTTCCGGCTCAGGGTGCCAGCATGCGGGGGCTCAGGTGAGGGCCCTAGTTTGGGTGACACACTGCAGACTTCTCACAGCAGCAGGAGGGCAATAGAGCTCGCTGGGGTCTCTTTTACAGGGCTCTAATCCCACTCACATTGGGGGTTAGGGTCTAGTCCGTAACAAACCAGTATGTAGGAAAAAACGTTTGTTGTGTTTTAACACAAAAAGTAACGATCAATTTGCGGTGAACACAGACCAGTTTTACGCTGGTTTTCCTCCTAGTGATTTGTGTGGCCTAACCTTTGGGAAAGTCCTCTTGTGATCATCCTCGAAGATCAAGAACTCTGGGGCAGTTTTCAGCTGTCAAGTCTACCATGGACCTGGGTTTGAACTTCATAAGCTGTAAAGCATGATGTAACTATAAATTGTCACCATTCCTGGCAGAGATTGTTTATAGGTTAGCATGAACAACTTTTTTCTACTGCTAGTGAAATCAGAGCCTGAAAAGTCCTGAGCTTATACAGTAGAAAGAAAGGATTTAGGCTAGACAGGATGCAAGGCTTCCCGACGATCACGGCTTGGGAACGAAGCATTTCAGTGGGACGGAAGCCTTTGGAATTGACTTCTCAAAAGATCTTTAAGTATAACAGACAACAGTAATTCTGTAATGGCAGGAACAGCAATAGTAATTAGGAAGATGGCGATGGTCACCATGGCTGGGATAATAACGGTGAAGGTGACGTGATGACTGCAGCTGCCACGGATTGAGCCCCTCCAATATGCAGGCACGGTGGAAGTTGCTTTACATGTTATTTCTACTCCTCACAGAGAGCCTGTAGGTATAGATGATACACGTTTCACAAACAAGGAGACCAAAGCTTAGCACCTATGATACTGGCTCCGTGCCGTTCTGCTGTGAAGCTGTTCAAGAACTTGGATTTGAAGTCATGTCTGTCTGTGTCAGACTCAGCCCCGTGCTGGGTGTAATGTGGGCCCAGCAGGTGTGAGATAGGCTTGCTGGATGTGAACAGGCTTGCAGGGTGTACTGCAGGCTTGCTGCGTGAAGTAGAGGCTTACTGGGTATAAGTCAGGCTTGCTGAGTAGACTGGGTTTGCTGAGTAATTGATGGCCGTGTGTTTCAAGGTAGCATCTGGCCTCAGAGTTTAGTGAGAAGGACATTCATTTTAATAACAATGCTTTTTCATTCTTCCTGTCGTTTGGTCACAGATATACAGTGTTCCTGCCCTTCTCTTCCCCCGATCTTGTGTGTAACACCAATTAGTATAGTGAGATGGTCGTGAAGGTTCGTCCCTGGGGAGGTGGGAGTGAAGGTCGATGTCACACACTTCAGTGTGCCTGCCTGAGCCTGCATGCTGTAGGCTGCACTTAGATGTTGGCCGGTAATGTCAAACTGTAAATTAGAAGTGCTAATTATTTATTTCCACCAGCCATCTCCTTCACTATGTCATGGCAGAAGGTGGCTGCCTACTCCAGATCAATGAGGGAGAATGGCAGAAATAGAGTCTCCAGGTGGCTAGGGTCCTTTGGGTCCTCAGATCCAAGTCTCTGCTCTGTTGCTGCTGA